CCCGCTGACAAATTACATTTTACATTGAACGCGTCTATGGTGGAACTTGCCAGGACGGTTACGACCGCAGCACGCCTCTCCAAGGCGCACACCACCGGCCGCGCTCGCGTCCGGCCGATTCATCAGCATTCTTGAATCGCGGTCGCGGAGGAAACAGGCGCGCGGGTATACACCCTGTCATTAAACTCGCGACGCGGCATCCTCCCGTGCTTCACAGGAGGATACCGCGTGGAGTCTCCGGCAGAGGGAAAGAGAGACGGTTTCCGTGGTGCGGTAGGTCTTGGATGTCACGCGAAGTCCTTTTTGCACGATCGCCCGCACAGATCGCGTCGCGTACCAGAAATAACACATCTCTGATCATTGATCCAGCGACTACGCCACCGGGCATCGGTGCTTTCCGGCGAGCAAGAGAAAGAGAGAGAGAGAGAGTGTGTGTGTGTGTGTGTGTGTGTGTGTGTGAGAGAGAGAGAGAGAATGCCGACGACAAAGAGGTTGGGAAACGCCGCCAGGGTAGCAAAAGAAGAAGAGGGACGGCGTTTTCTAGGATACGCGAGAGCGAGAGCGAGAGAGAGAGAGAGAGAGAGAGAGAGAGAGAGAGAGAGAGAGAGAGAGAGCTTCTCTTACCGGTTCCATATCGTAATCGAACGAGCGGGGCAAAGCGAAGAGTCTCACCAGCGGAGAAGAGAAGAGAAGAGACGAGAGCCGATCGCGGTCTGTATTCCGACAGCAGGTGGAACCCCTCGAGAACGCACACGTATCGCGAGCACACGGTCGAAGAAATGAAGCCTACCTTGAGAAGCCTACCTTTTTGCGATCCACGTTATCGATACGGACTCGCGCCGATACATGCGATAGCCGGCGTTACGGCTTCATTGATTCAGCGCGCGAACGAGCGACGCGTTTGTTAGCTATTAATAACTATACAACTCAGCGAGGGAGAAACGTTCGTCGTGGAACACGTGGTGGAACAAACGAGACAGTTCGGTCGAAGACCGGGGCGAGATGGTGCGGAATATCGAGTTTGCGACCTCTCATACAACCAATCACTCTGATTGGCTTCACACACACGATAAGCTTTCTTTATGTTTTTATGCCATCAACGATCTTAGAAACCGCATATTTTGTTCTGTAACAACAGGCGCATGAATACACTACAACGTCACTATCTTGTCCTGATAACGGGGCAAATTGTTCAGCAACCCAGACTAATTATCTTGGAGGCAAAAATGTATCGCTAACTAAAAACTCCAGATCTACATGAACAAAGCACATGACTTGAGCCAACTAGCTCCGGTTTCCCTTATTTTGCTCGAAAGAATTCGATCCTCTCCTGTCGGCGACGTCTCATGCTCGCAGAAAGGAGGATGAATGTCATCGAGCGAGAGTGCACGCTTAAATAAAGTTTCACACCGTAGTTCGCGCAAAAAGACAAGAGAAGTGCTCCTTGCGTGCGCCTCTCTTGCGCTTCGAGCATGTCAGGCATTCCCTAAAAAAGGAACAGAGGAAAGGAGTCAACGCGTACGGCGCCAGAAAACCGGTAGGGAGTCGCCTGTCGGAATAGAAAGTAAACTCAGCAGATTCATAAACAAATACCATTTTTCCCTCCAACTGATGGGGTAGTCAACGCCAATATAAACCGGCGCATTCCTACTGGTAACGTGTGTAGAGGTATCGGCGTGTGTCGCGAGGCTCTTCCTCCGGAGGAAGAGCCTCATTGTCGATATGGCGCGAAGATGGCGCGATAAAGCGGAATTTCAACTACCGAGAAAGTGCCTCGGCTATGCCCGATGAGGAAGAGAAGCGAAAGGGGGAAGGAACGACGAGGTGTATCCGAATGAAATATCACTATCCGGCGCGCATTAAGATTACGGAATATCGCGAATAGCCGCTGCGAGCCACGGGTGCGATCCACCCTCGGTGGGAAAGAGAAGAGAAAAAACGACTCGGCTATCCGCGAAACGATCGACAACGCGGCGTAATACGCAAATGGACGCGCGGCACTCGCGAGGAATGTGATAACTCGTTAATACGCGGCTGGTTCCATGGAGCGACACGAATCGATGCGACGCGACGCGACACGACGAGATGGGATGCGTCGATACGTATCCCGTATCATTAATCACGACGAAAGCTTAATTGAGACGCGGCCGGCAGTAGTAGCCTTCGCACGCGCCGGCACCGCGATATCTGCGAAGCGTGCGGGCCACGATCGTGGGGCTGATCGGTGGACCAGAATTCCATCCGCGGGAAGATGATGGGCTCCGCGAGATGATGCGCGCGTATTCGGAGAGAAGACGAGCGCGCAGGAAGAAGCGTAAGAATGGACGGCGCCAAGAGCCGCGAAGATGGGAACCGGTTGAAATTCTCTCGCTGCAGTGCTCGCGGCAGAAAAGCCGCGAGAGACGAGGAGATTCACCCACGATGCCTTCACCGTCGCCTCTCGTTCTCTCTCTCTCTCTCTCTCTCTCTCTCTCTCTCTCTTGCCCGGTGGTAAAGCATGTCGAATGGCGTACGTGACCTCTTCCAAGCATGCTTCGATCGTGCCTGGCGATCGCGATTTTAAGTCTGTTGTTTTCAGCTGAACTAGTGCTGCAATGGAACCCCGCTCCTTACCCCTTCTACTCTTCTAGATTATAGACTTGGTTCATTCTAAAAGCAAAAGGTGCAACCTAGTTCGGCTAACAAGAACAGACCTTTTGTTGAAGAGCGCTGTGGAATGCATACATGTTCCCAGAGAGAGAGAGAAAGAGAGAGAGAGAGAGAGAGAGAGAGAGAGAGAGAGAGAGAGAGAGAGAGTCCGGTGCTCTCGGTGGATTGTACCGAAATTATCCAGCACATCCATTCGCGGACACTCGACTGAGTATTGGATAACCGACGATTTCAGCGATTTCAAATCCCACGCAGCGCTTTGGAACTTGATCATGCAGGTAGGGGAGGCCGGGACTAGTTGGTGCACTTTCTTTTTTAATGATTGCTCACATGCAACTTGTAAGGGGAGTTGACACCGCGAACAAATTTTTTCGAAAGCTACTGAAAACAAGAAACTTCTTTCTAAGTTAGTGATATAATCTATATTTGTTCTATTTGTTTGCGTCTCTCAATAAGAAATATAAATTGATTACATTTGCAACAACTACCATATGCGGAGTAGTAACTCCAGTCACTGAAGTAAGTTGCAACAGGAACAGCGTAATCTTTAGTTTTAAACATTCTAAACAAACGGTTCGTACGATGATTACATTTGTGACACTTGAAATATACTGTGATATTGTGATTATTACTTTCAGCTACACACAAACCTAAAGATGTTATCTATTTTAGAACACGCTGTTCAGTCTGAGCGTGGTAATTGAAACGTTACCGCAACGTTTCGGCAGCAATGCTATATTTTTGTGCAACGTATTGTCGTTTATCGCTTTACGGTTGCATTATATATACAATTTGCGCCGCGTAAGAACTAGCCTCAGTCTCGCCTGTGTGCAAGACGCGTGTGTAAGGCGGTTTTTACTGTTGGCGGAGTTTGCAGATGCAATTTACGGATTTTCTTTCGGACGGTGATTTGTTACAATTAGAGCTGTGCACTCGAGAACGGCGTCGACTCGTTGACGAATGAAGTGTTTGGATTTTTCGCGATAGTAGATGATATCGGACTGTGCGAGGAGACTACGTCCGAGAAGGCGTCCAGAAATGAAGTCTGCCTTGAAGCCGGCGTCTTTTTGCTACTCACCGTCGATACAAATCCATGGAGAAGCGTGAAGACGTGGCAATGTAAAATTCCGCACCGCGAGCGAAAGAACCGATGCCGAGAGGGAGAGAGAGAGAGAGAGAGAGAGAGAGAGAGAGAGAGAGAGAGAGAGAGAGAGTAAAAAGAGAGAGAGAGAAAAGATTTACGGTGCCGGGAACAAAGTGAGAGCGCGGGCGAGGGTGAGGATGTTATTAATGGGATTAACATAAACGCTACATTGATCGATACGCGGATAACGACGCTCTTGCTATTACTCGCTCTTCCATTATTTCACGTCCACGCGATACGCCACTTACAAATGGATTATACCTTTTTGCCGGGCGGACATTACTCATTCGACGACTACGCTAGTTAATATAATTAGCCCGATGTGATAGCACGTTGCGCTAATTTACAATCGCGCCAACGAGTGTACAACGCGCGAGCAACAAGTGGAGCGCACTGCCTCGTTCTTGTTGTCAAAAACGATTGTTTGCCTTAACAATCAGCAGCTCCACAGGGAGACTGATTAACTGATCAGGAATCCTTCCATTCCCACAACCGAGTTTATCATTTGGATTATATTCTCACCAGGCGAATGGACATTCAGTTACATTGACGGAACTCTTTTTTCTGTGTATTTATGGGACAAAAGCCGGATTATTAATGCGAATCAGGATTTCACATCGTACACGCCCGAGTCGCCCAAATCGCCAAACAGAGATTTTAAAAGCAGCGTGTCACGCGTTTCATCCGAGAAGGCATCACCTGTTTCACCTGTTTCACCCAACGAGCCCATGATTACCTATTCGGGCACTTTGCGGTCGGGGAGGGATACATGCCTGTCTTCGAGTGTGTACCCTCGAATTTGCACATCATCTTTGCCGGTCGAGAGGGCAAGGGGGAGCAGGAGGGGAGCGCAGGTCCCGTGCCAAATCAAGCGTGGCGTCATCGATCGCAAGAAGTTCCATGTCTTCCGCGCGTTGTTCACCGTAGACATCCATTGTGTCTCCTTCCTTCGACCTTGTCACCCGCGCCTTTTCTTCCTCCTTTTTCTCCGTTTTCCTTTTTCCCCTTTTTGTTTTGTGGCGCGGCTCGATTACTTTTCGATTCGTCTCCACGTCGTCGCTGCCACCGCCACAGCCGCCACCGCCGCCGCCGCCGCCGCCGTCCCCTTCGCGTTGGGCTCCCTCGTCCTGGCTCTAGGTTAGCCAGTGAATCATCTTCAACGACCCCCTCCTCCGGGATCCGGGCAGAAGATTCTTAAGGGGGCCCACGGCGCAGCGCGAGGCCAGTCCGAGAACGCGACCCTAACGCACTAACATCCGGTGTATTCCGAGAGACGAAAGAGAGAGAGAGAGAGAGAGAGAGAGAGAGAGAGAGAGAGCGAGAGCGAGCGAGAGAGTCGGAAACGGAAACGACTGCTTGATTGCCAAGTTGCCAGCAGTAATCGACACGCTAACATGAAGATCGTTCTGTTGCTCTTCGTCGTCGCGGCCTTCGCCTCAGGTTAGTACCCTTTGCACTACGACAATATCCGGCCCCTCGTGCTCGCTTCAACACCCGCGGTGACGTCTTCATTATTATGAAATGATTGCTCCCTTGTTGACTTCATCGTCATCCGGCATACTGATACCTGCATCCGTTCGACCGTCAGTGTCTCGTACAGTACGGTCTTCTCATCGTCCATTTAGATGTTGCGCGCGGTGCTTTGTACGCTGATGTCGCGTAAGTGTACGCCTTTGACGCCTGAGGCAGTCTTCATGAACGGAGAAACGGAGCTCTTGAGTCGAGGAGCCTCAAGTCGGGAACAAAATTCAATTCTCAAGTGCTCCATTTGACAGCAAATATACTTTTCGAGCACTTTATTCGACCGACATGTGCGAATTCCTCCGTAACTCACCGCGAAACGTCCTTGCTATGTTAAGAAGAACCATGCGTCTTTCAAGGCATAATTAGAAAAAAAATCTGTGTTAATGGCTTCTTAATCGCTCGATTGTCACGTTTTAGGATATGACTTGAATTCTCGTTACTTTATTCAGTGGCTTTGATGTCCGCGTTTTCCTGTTATTATAAATTTGCACTCCTGTGCGTATTTCGGATTCTATTAGTATCGCACGACGTCTTCCGAGCTCGCATTTTTCTGTCACTAAAGACATCCCTGCGCCAAGTCTGTCAGTGTGCGTTCAGGGTTTGAAGCGGAAACAACCGATGGTAGATCATGCAAACGACGCACCGGATATATCATGTCCTTTCACAGTTGTGTCCGTAAGAATACGAGCCGTAAAAATAGAAGCCTCACGAATAATTTCGAAAGTGAAATTATTGGAATCTCTTCTTCCTCTGTCTTACTCTTCAAAACGAATAGATTATTGCGTCGAGTCGCAAAACATCCATCTTTTCCTCTCTTTACAAAGTTATCCTCGTAGGAGATATTTTGCAACAGATCCTGATCATAATAAGTCCACTTCAAACTAGATAACGGAAGTTAAGATTTGCGATTGGAGATTTTAAGATTAGAGATTCAAATTTGATTATAAGATTTTAAGATTAGAGATTCAAATTTGACGAATCCATTACTTTCTGTTCGCAATCCTCAATCTCCAATACCTAGTTTGACATTGGCTACAGGTGGCTTGCTGAAACGTTAACCGGTCTTAATAGATGTCTGAAAAGTCTCATGCGCGCGCGCGCGCGCGCGAGATGCTCGAATTTTTATTCACAGTTCCAAGTTTTTCATTTGAATTATGATATGAGCTATGACACATTTAAACTTGTAATCTGAGAAACTCTCATCCAACTCCGAATTGAAGTCTGAGTATCTCACTGGAGACGAGTTTCTCAAGTAAGAGAGTTTCAAGTAACATTATTATTAATGCATGCCTGAGTAAGCAGATTCGGAAACAATAAATGTACGCGCTGTTCCCGTAGCAGATCACTCGCGACCGAATCCAGCATAAATTAGCGTCTCGCGTGTCTCGTAGACGGCACGTCTCATTATATTTCATGATCTGTAGCCGCGAGCGAGCGAGCGAGCGTGGCTAGGGTCCGCGAAGGTCTCAGAACGGCCCTGCGCCGAAGGTATTCGGTGCCTCTCACTACAGTTATTAAAAATAGGCGAAGGATTATACAGGGAGCGAGCGTTTAGCCGGTCCATTTATAGAGGTACAAGCCGCGCTCGCGGACCCGTTCCTCCGGGGCGAGTCTCATTGAAAATCATTAGCCGGAGCGCATTACGTGAACGGAGCTGTATAGCTCGGGCGACTAGTCCCGTCAGTCGCCTCCTCTTCTTTCGCTCGCGCACACCGGCGGCAGACGTCTCAAGGCCTTCGGGTCATTTACCACCACCTGCACGTACGACTTCACGATCCGGAACGTTTTTGCTCCGGATGCGCTCCGCGAAGTCTCCGTAGCCGTGACTGGACTTCTTGCGACCGTCAGACGGATATCTCGTTCCGGTCTTGCGGCAGCGTCGTCCACCGTGTCGTACGTCGATGTAACCATTCAATTTGCATACACGTACAATTTCCCTCCGGCCGGTCGCTTTAATTTCATCGAACATTCGCGAGAGGAGCGACGGGAGCGAGAGGGGATGTCGAGCTCCTCGAGTCCCTTTGGAAGACTTGATGGGACGATTACGCTGCACTTGTAGAGTCGTTTGCTCGATGTTTGCTTTCGTACTTATTCTCACTCCACGCTTTTATCCCAAGTCACCACCTTGCATCTTTCGTGCCGGTCGATTTCGCAATCCGTCCTCCATCCTCTTGTACATTCTTTTCATTCCTTTCCCTCTCTCAGAGACAATTCTCTACGTGCAGACGTGTAAACCCATTCTTCTCTCGCGAGGACCCTGATTCGGTCTCATGACTCTCACTGGTGAGATAAGCTGCACCAAGGTCGAAGTTCATCCCGACCTGGCCGTCTCAAGCCGTACAATTACCACACGCTGTTGCATTATTCGGCGCCGCCCTCTTTCACGGATTACACGCTCCGATATGAACGCTCCGAAAGAGAGAGAGATTCCGCTCCGTCAGGAACATCACGGCGGAGAATTAAAAGCGACGACAAAGACTCACGTTAGCGAGTCGCGCCGCGTTCATCACCTAAGGGCTATCTTGCACGCGTCTCATATTTCATAAGTACAGTTAACCAAATAGCCGTGGCGGTTCAATGAACTCGCGGGCCGACGTATGTATCGTGTGAACAGTGCCCTTCTCGTGAAGCTTCGAGTCATTGTGAGGCTGGTGAAAAACGCGACGTAGTCGCGCCAGGCCACGAGTTTCGAGTGAAATTAAAGTCGTATTATGAGCGCGGCGGGTGAAAGAAAGTCGAAAAAGGGGGAAGCGGCCGCTTTAATTTACGACCTTTTGCCAGGCTCTCCTCTACGTCCCCGCTATTGTATCGCAAATGCAACGTAGCGACGAGCGAATGACGCTACTTAGCCGATTCACAGATCTTCCGCGGGTTACATAATCGACGAAGTCGGCGCGCGACCAGCTTGGGGATTTCGTCATCGCATTATTTTAAGACGCGCCGGGTTAAAATAACGATAACGATTCGTCCTGGCGCAATTGTACGCACCGAGACTCATATGGCGTGTTTTTAGCGAGCGTCTACGTAACGACTCCCGATCGCGACCATCGCAATAGCAAGCCGCTGGGTGTTAACCGGATTAGAATTCGCAGGACGAGTCATGCTCGCCTCTCCGTTGCCATTTGCGGCCTTGTCGGAAGTCAATGACAGACACGTGCTCCGATCACTCTAGGGAGGATCCAAGAAAAATTATTCGATAGAAAATTAACAAGTGGATATTTCCGATCAAAATACCAATGAATTTTTATGCCCGATCAGGATATCCAATTAAATCTAATCGAATCGATCATAATGGCATTTCATCAGATAAACCGATATTTCTCATCGGTATTTTAATTGGAAATATCCGTTTGTTAATTTTTTATCAAATAATTTCTCTCAGTGTGAAATTCTCTCCATGTACTCTTCGCTAATCTTGATAGATTTTTATTGCGATAGATATGATTGAAGCGTTCCCGCGCGCGTTAATTTTGTTTTTCACACATATCCATGCATTCCACGCATTTGCGACTGCGTTATCGCGTCTATTGTGGGAACTGGATCAACTGACTCGCTCCAATTTCACATTGTGACACGAGTTGTACAACTTGTGATCGGTCGTCTGGTTTTTTTGTAAGTTTAAGGTCTATCCTTCTTGCTCAATGGGACAATTTATTTTAAGCTCTCTCATTGGACAAGATGAATAGATTCCGAAACTTACAAAAGAAAAGAAAGCAAGCACTTTTCCGACCACAAGTGAACGCAACCCTAACGTAGCTCGACACAAACGAACGTCGTCGTTTTCGACGTGTCGAATGGAGAGAAAAAGGGAATTATGCGAGACGTTTCGTTCGCAGCTCAAAGAATCACAACGATCCAGCTGGATGGCATACAGTACTTCGTCTCGCGAATGAATCCCTACAGTCCCGAGCTGAACTACTTCCTGGCGTATCAGTACTGCCGCTCGCTGGGTCTCCAGTTGGCGTCTTTCGAGACGAAAGAGAAGGCCGACACGATGACCCAATATCTGAAGAACGCCGGCTACACCAAGTACGATTTCTGGACATCCGGCAATAAGCTGGGCACGGACATGTTTCTCTGGATGAGCACCGGGCTCCCCTTCAACGTCACCTTCGACTACATGCTGAAGCGACCTGGCAACAGACCCGCCGACGTGCCGCCCGGCACCGAGCCTCAGAGAGTGGCTCGCGAAAGGTAAGGTCTTTGATTAAGTAGATTGAGTAGATAGGTTTCTCTTTCGTCGCGAAAGAAGTTGACGCCAAATATGAAGAATGATAAAAACGCGGCACTTAGAAGACCCTGATAAGATCTGAGAAAAGGGACTCTTATCGTCGCCAACTCTTAGCATAAATGTCATAAATATATGATTAAAATTCAAATAACTCATTTGAAATATACACGATCCTAATAAAAAATGCTAGAATTGAGAGATTAAATAAAGAATTTCTCATTCAATATCTCTTGCTAATGAAGTTTAATCTCGAAGAGATCATCACTAACTTTCATCAGGTATCATAAATGTGACGAAGTTTTAGATATCTCGCGTGAGATGTATGTGACTCCATAAGGAAGAAATGTTAGAATGGAGAGATTCGAGAGGAAGGATTTTATTAAATATCTCTTACAACAAAGTTCTGAAGAGACAACGCGTTCGCCGACCTTTCGCCCGCATCTCGCGCCAGTCGACCGTGGTGTTATCACGGAATAATGATTATCGGCCGGCTCTTCCGCAGTCCGACGCCTTAGCACCCGGAAACGCGCGCGTGGAATATCTAACGACGGCCGTCTAGGGCCGTTGACGAGCGTTTAAATTCCAAAAAGCGAGTCTCTCGATTTCAGCGGCGACAGCGGCAGCGCGGACGGATGTGTCGCGATGATGGCACCTACGTTAGCTTGGGAGGCGCAGGACTGCACCCTCGTGAAGGACTTTATCTGCGAGCAAACAAGATGCTACTACTACAATTACGGCAGCATTCCAGTCTCCGCGACTCAGGGGTAAGAGGTGAGATAATACTTGTCACAAAAATACACGAGCCCGTCGGAAGGAAAGAGAGAGAGAGAGAGAGAGAGAGAGAGAGAGAGAGAGAGGGGGGGAACGCGAGAACGCGCGAGAGAGAAAGGGAGAACGAAGGAAAAAGGGGAAAACGATGGTTAAGAGAGAGAGTCCGGGAATGTCAATGTACCCAAGGTGAATCTCGCTTTTGCACGGACAAAAAGTAAACGACTCCGATAAGATATGCAAAGCACGTCGCGATAATCGAACGTTTTATCCGTCGTGCTACCGAAGTATACCTTAGCACGGTCGTGGTATGAAAATGTATTATTACACAGCGTATATACGCGTCCGCTCGTAAGTATGTAAGCCGCGGCCATCGTCGTCGACGCAATTCCGCTCTCCGACTTAAAGACCAGCCACTCGTCTCTTTTCTTCGTGCGTAAACGGAAAGTTTACGAGGACGCGAGACAAGGACACGGTCCTACTTAATCAGCACCTCGGAGAGCGAGTCGCTTTTCCTCTGCGCAGCGCTTGACAGCTCTCGGCTGCTTGAAACGAGCGCAAAAACGCTTCTTCACTTCCGCAGTCGGCGCGATTGCGCAAAATGAGCGACCAGATTATATTTATAATACGCGCGACGATCGAAACGCTAGAACCCGATAACGACGGCGTTTAAAACCAGTCCCCCGAGATCTTGCCCGCATACCTAATAGCTTTGGAGATGGAGATGTCGACGGCCTGGAGTAGCTCGGCTACGGTATGCCGGGAACCTACGCAAGTGTCTTTGCCAGCTTGACTCTCAATAACGCAGTCATTCTCTCGCTTCTTGACGCACTACTCACAAAGAACGACACATTCCTCACCACACATGTGTAGACACACAAATATTCACATAGCCAGACAGACACACAGGTAGACATGCGAGCTAGTAAAAAGTATGGCTTCACTCGGTCCAAAGGACTCGCGACGAAAAAGTTCACGAGTACCGCAGAACCGCCGAATCGAGCGAGTTTGCAGGCGACCAAGTGAAGCCACACTTTTGTCCGCTAATAATATAGTGCTTAAGTCGACTTACTAACTATCATAACACATTGGTTTAGTATTGGTTGCACGGAAAAAAAAGATATGGTGTGTGCACATAGCCAGAAATACTTGGTTGCAAGCAGCATAGTTGCATCACGCAAGTTATCTTTGTGTGATAGTAATGTGTGATTGATATGATTGATATGATTCGGTTACTTGCTGCTACATCAATGCAGTTGATTTGGTTGTGACAAGCAGAAATCGGTTGGAGTTACCATTTACCATGGATATATTCTGATTGGAACAATCAGACACAGTTACTCTGTCGCAACACCAATAACTCAATAATTTGCGGGAGTGACACAAAGGATCTCAATCTGAGTGCCTTGGCCTCTTGAAGACTGCGCCCTCCACTGCTCTCTATCATCCGTAATAATAAATAAGCTGAGCAATGGCTCTGTGTTTGCAACAAACCACATAATTAGTTATTCCGTATTTTACTATTGGATCTGGTTAGCACAAGCAGATTCATATACACGTGGGCCAACCATACCGTTTTTTCCGTGTGAGTGTAAAGTCTCATGGACAAACCGTTGCTTGAATCTCACGTAGCAAACAGAGAAGAGAATAGGAGGATAACGACGATGACAATCTTAAACGAATCTCTCTCTTTCTCTCGCCCTTCCAGAAACCACAGGCCCTACATCACGACCACCTCGGCGCCAGCCAGCGACGACCAGGCAGCGAGTGCTCGCGAGACCGACAGCACCGACATCGACGACCATCACCCGGGCACCGACGCTCTGGATGAGCAGGCGACACCACCGCGAGCGGACGCGTCCGCGGACGAGAAACTTCCAGAGGACCCGGTCGTCAGCAGGCTGATCACCACGGCCGCTCCCGCATCTGGCAACCAGCAGCATCAGCAACAGCACACAGGAACGACGACGATGTCGGCGACGGCGCTGTTCGACGACGTTCGCGGGCACGAGCGCTCGGCCGTCGGCGAGCTGGACAACAGCCGGCCGGAGCACATCCCGGACATCGCGAGCCTCTTCACCAAGCACGCCGTCGTGTCGCAGACCAGCAAGGACAGCGTCTTCGACGGCTTGGAGACTCGCGAGATCCTGCGACCTGCGTCGGCGTCCCGTCCCGTCGTTCCCGCATCCTCGTCCTTCTCCGCGGCCTCCTCCTCGCCCTCCTTGTCGGAGATGAGGATGGAGCATCGCGAGGCGGCCGATTACGGCGAGCTCACCGCGGAGACCGAGCTGCCGAACAACGGCCTCGAAGACGCCCACACGATCGGGCCGTACGACAGCGTGCAGGATTACGTGAACGATCAGCCGGCGGAGGACGCGCCGGCGGCGGACTCGGCGATGATGAAGGACCAGGACGACGACAGTAGCACGATCCTGCCAGAGGCGGAACCGGCCTACAGGTACAACATCAAAGTGCGCACCAACGGCAAAGTATTAGACCCTCCGTCCAAGTAACGCTTTACTTCCTAGGCAACGTCGCGTTATTTCGTTGTAATAAGTGTACGACACGAGCGAGATCGATACCCTTGAGGAAAAACTTAGGTATATATTATATATAGATTTATATGTAATGTGTATGTTTATCACGAGTGCGTATACCGCCCCCGTGTGACACGAGCGAGCTGTCGCGGTCGCGCGGGTCAGACAGGTCGCCGTTGTCATCGCTCGCCGTTTAGCTCCGTAACTGAAAGCGTGCCCGACATCACGCTCGACATACTTTGGGATCAGAGAGGCACGTTTCGACATAATAGCTTCCTCGGTCGGCGGCAGGCAAGGGGGATCGTTTCGGACCTACCTTCGGTCATAACAAATCGGAAGGAGCGGAAGGATAACAAAAAGCCAAGCAAAACAAGAGAAAAACGAGATCGTCAGAGACGTCGGGAAGAAGTCGCGAGTTGTTGAATTGGAAGAAGGTACTCTCCTGCCGACGTTACTCGACAAGCTGTACATTTTCGCAAGGGCATTTACTCGATAGGTTGAAACACCCAATTATTGGCACATCCCTCTTACACCCGCTTCTATCAACGTCGATAAAATCTCAATCTGAGTTGAGGTATTTATTTGAAGAGAATCTAAACTCAGGTTAAAGTTTGATCGGCATCGGAACGAGCGTTAACCATTTACACTCTAGAAAAGTTTGGCCCTTCTGGTGGCCAGCATTGAGCTTCTTGCTCGCACTCTACAGGTCTGTTCTATCTCGCTGCACTGGTACATAGCTATGAAATTTAGAGAAAAATAGGTATATAGTTGAGACTTGGTGGAGAAAAGAGGAGAAGAGAGCTGGCTCAAGTGCAGCGCGGAAGAACCGACTCTGTGATCTCAAATGAGATCTCTCTTATTAAAGCAGGTGCCATTGATCGTAAGAAGAGCCAGGGTTTCTTTAGGATGCCAATGACGAAAGGGAATACCGATAATTGGGCGTTTTACCCTCCGTTCTCATCCTCGATCATCAGTCACGCTGGCGGACCATCATTCTCTCGAAAAGATCGTTCTCTCATCGTCGCTTCGCAACCCCCACACTCTTCGCCTTGATCCCGCTAGCTTCTCCGATCGATCGGCTAATCGGCAATCGTTCGCGCGTGACATCGAGACGGATCCGTCAACGAGCGAGACAAGAAGAAGAAACGAACGTGAAGAACGCGAGAGGGAGTCATGTGTACGCGTATATCGGAGAGATTCGAGGTTCATCATATCGTATCGCTGTAAGGCACACACGCGACGTCCACCAACGTCTTCGTATCCTTCGTGCGTAAGGGAATAATCATCATAGTTAATATCGTAAAGTCCATACGTCTGCAAGACGAAACGTTAGGCTGCCTGGACGACGTTCCAAGGCGCGCTGAGACGCGTTAGCTGTCGAAGGAGTTCGCGAGCTTCACCGGTTTCGCGAGCAACGTTCCGGTCATCCAGACATATGACGATCGTGTTTTTCTGTAGCCTCGTTTACGCAAAATGTCGCTCTAGCTGCTACGATAAGTCACCCTCATCACCCCTTCATACACACATATACACACATTCTCACAAACACACACACACACACACGCACACACATTATTTCTACGTACAACGGCGTGAGTGTGCGACTTGTATAACTGAACTTTAATAAAGATACGACCACAGTCTTATGGTATCGTGCGTTTATCATTGGCCTTTTGGCGTTACTGTCAGCGTGTCGCTTGGTATCGCCTTGGTACGGCTTGCAAAGCAAAGTTGAATGCAGCGTTAGAAACGACTTTTCTTCGACAAAAGCGGCAGAATGTGCAAACTTTAACTCACCAGCCGTTCACGACTCCTTCTATATTTAGCATAGGAACTATTTTGAACACATAATCGTCGCGTAGACTGCAGGCGTATTGGCTGTCGCTCAAAAGAGCCTTCAACGTCCCATGCATCACCCACGAGGCGTTGCTTTCTCCGGGGTGCACCCTGGACGTCAAGAAGATCACCTTGCGAGCCTGAAACATGAGAGATGAGAGTTTACTCATCGAATATCCACCATAAGACGAATGTTTTTTTTTGTCAGCGAGTAAAGATTTTCGTATAGTCGATGAGAGTGCGATTCTCACATGTATAGGATTGCTCTTGGAATCCGGCGATGTGATAGTGAGCACAGGATTCTCATTGCCGTTGAGAGTCTCGCAGAGTGTCTCCGCGCGGAAGTAAACGTTTGAATTGGCGTGCTTCCTCGTCCACTTCCAGATATTGGTCATCAGCTGGCTGTACGTGTACGGGAAGTGATAGGCCAGGTAACAGACATCGTGCGCGTGCGGAAACGTGACCGTGAAGGACGTCGTCAGGTACGTCTTGCCTCCTCTGGCGGGTCGCTGGTAACAGTTCCGATAATAACAGATGTCGACGCCGGTCCTTACCCAACCAGGTCGGCCGCATTTCGCCTCCGCCACGCTGAACAGTATCGGCTTCATGCCGAAGTTGAACTGCGAGTTGGCCTTCTCGCAGTTGATGATGTTGAATGTGTACGGTGCGTTCGCCTCCATGTTGGAGACCTCGAAGTAGAACCACTGATGTCGGGAGCCACTGTTGACGTCCGGCGTCAGGATGAGGTCATACTCCCGCAGGCCTATCTGCATGTCAAGAAGAGGACCATGACAGAGGATGATGACGAGATTTTAGAAGGAAAAGATTGCGTTCAGTGGAGCGAAGAGTTCAGTGAGCGATCGGTAATTATTTCTTCTGATTGAAGTATATCTTTAGATCCATGATAGGTTTAGAAAAAATATTTCAATGGCAACGAGCTATTAGTGATTATTTCTTCTGATTCTGAAATATATCTTTAGATCCATGATAAGTTTAGAAGAATGTCCTAATGGCAACAAGCTATTAGTGATTATTTCTTCTGATTAAAATACGTTATTAGATCCATGGTAAACATAAAAGAATATTTTAATGATAGTGCGAGAGAGAGAGAGAGAGAGAGAGAGAGAGAGAGAGAGAGAGAGAGAGAGAG